CCTACACACACAAACACACAAACGCACACAAATGCATTGGCAATCGGCTTGTGTACAAAAAATGGGAAGTTCAATTCAGGAGACAAGCAGTTCGAGATGATGTTTATTTCATAAAATGTAGGCTGCATTCCTGAAACGATTTATAAATGCTATAAAATGAAAAGGCAGAGCTCCTTTCCGACTCACAAATATATCACATTTTCAAAACTACAAAAGTTTAAAGAGAAACTTGAGCTTCTGTTAAGTCGTGTGTATAATAATATATATACATTATACAGTATACTATTCTTGTCAGATTTTATGCGTCCCCTGCTTTTCATAGGCTGCATGACTCAATTTGAACTCCTTGCCTCCTCTTTTCTCCTCCTCCCTTACTATTTTACTATTGATCATATATATATACAGATAGTTTGTGTTCGATTTGTATAAAGTCTGTTACATGCAACATGGAATCCTCCCCCCCCCTCTCATTATTTTACAAATTGTTATAAAATTATTATATTGTTTGTTTTCGATTTGTAAAATCTCACATTGCAACACATTACCTTTCCTCCCTCCCCCCTTTACTATTTTATAAGAAATAACCATAGATAGATAGTTTTTTTTATTCGATTTGTAAAATGTTAAAACACAAACAACCCCCCTTTAGAAAAATAAAACAACCAAACTTAAACCAACCACTCCCCCCCTCCCCTCCCTTATCAAATATCAAAGATATATCAAATGTCAGACTAAACCATGAAGCGAAAACAACCACAAAGAACAACAACTATTTTACAAATAATCAGATAGCTAGCCTGTGTTCGATTTGTTAAGTCTGTTACAACAGGGCATGATACTGTGTGTAAAAAGGAGAGATTTGCACCGACTTCCCTTTCATTTACGTTACTTTTAAGCCTCTCTACATCCAGGCCACCGGGCGCTGCTTGTAATTACAGGATGTAATTATTTTTCGATGATAAATGGAAATGTAGGATAAAAAAAAATCATTGGGATCACTTTCTATTGACGACAGAAGGGAGGGAGAAGGAGAGGGAGAGAGAGAGAGAGAGAGAGAGAGAGAGAGAGAGAGAGAGAGAGAGAGAG